CTGATTATTGCTTAATCTAAATTTCACATTACAGGTGTTTCGGGTATATTGGATAATACTTCGTGAAGTTTCCAATGAATATTGTTTCTTCCTTATCTTCCGGTCCAAAGTCGATAATGATAAGTTTACCTTTCACTTGCAATACCATTCCAAGCGCTAAAAACACTTGAAAAACCATGTCTCGTTTTCTTTCTCGCGTCTTTAAAGTGCTTGTTCACGTTCACACTCTGTAGATAATGTATGGCTACGCTGTCAGAACTGCCCGTAAATTAAATATTTATGGTTTTACTCACTTTAAGACTATCTAAATTAATGCTAATTTCATATTTTCATATTGAATGCACAACGATGTTCGTCACAAATGACCAATAAATTATAACATGTCTTTAAACTGCTTGTTCACGTTCACACTCTGTAGACAAGGTGCTTCGTTGTCAGCATTGTGCGCCGATTAAAAATTTACGATGGAAGTCACAATTTAGAGTACCCGGATCTCAAGACAATTTTATGCTAATTTCGTATTTTCATATACTGACTGCACAGCGCTATTATACGTCACAAATGACCAATAACTTTTCAACAGGTGATTACAGTGGACCCACAGGATTGCTATCTGTTGTTACCTGTCTTCTTACATTGATTTTTTTCTGTCTGTTTGGCATTCTGTGTTTGGCACGAGAAGGCAGCAAATACTTTTCAATATTAGATGTCCGTAAGCGAACTTTTTTCTCTATTAGATATGTTATTTCACAATTTGAAACTGTAAACTATTTTATTGCTCATAATTGCTTTTTATTTGACAAGATAAAGTGCCCGAAAAAATGATAAATATTTAGTGTTACAATGGTAAGTACAGGTAAGAACGAAAGCAATTAAACATAAGGCAAAGAAAAACAAAAACGAAAACAATTACTTACGCAATTTAAAAAAAAAAAATAATTTTTAATTTTAAATAATTATATGGTAGGTAGGAATACAAAATCAATTAGACCTCGAGTGCGAATGGACTACGAGCTGATAGCACATGAGGAAATAATTACCATACTAGTTGAACAAAAAAATAACAAAATATCTGTTCATAATTACTAAAAACTCGCACTTGCGGCTTTCTCAAATTTTGAAAAATTACAGTTAACTCTCTGTAAACTGTTAGATAACAGAATTTGAGAGATTTATTATTTGTGAAATTTAGATGAATTTCTCATGATCTTGTATTTTTCGATAAATGTTGATATTAGGGATTTAGACTGTTTTGACTAATGTTAGTTATATGTAGTTTCATGTGTGGTACAACCTTCTATAGTTAAGACCAGCATCGTCTTAGTTTTGACTAGCATTTGATGGAAACAGAATATTGGATTAGGTTTAGAATTATAAAAGGACTGACGTTATAGCACTCGAAACACACTACTCATCTCATTGTACCTATTACGGGCCAAGACTGAGGTTGTAGTCTAGATCGTATTGGAAAGTACAGACCAAAGTATGGAAAGTGCTTGAGTTTGGAAGCCCTACTATACAAGTACTCCGACAGCGGAAAGTCTTTCTGGACGACCTTCTTCAGCCTCATCTTGCGCCGAACACATTAATAACCATATTTGTAATTACTGTACGTGAGAACCAAGAATAAACGAGTGGCAAACCAGAACGATCCTTAATGGTTGAGCATGTCCTTACAAAACGACCACTCTCGTAAATGACCACTCCCGTAAACGACAACCTTCTAAACTTCCCGTTTTGTTTCCAGTAATAGAGAGCTTAAGCATGACGTTCACGGCAAACTGCAAATGGCAGAAAAGATCACGTGACCTGCTTTTTGGGGGTTTATCGTTTAACAGGGTCAAACGACGCGAGAGGGGGGTATTTTGGGGTTGCCGTAATCGTGAAAAGCCGCTCTTTCAAATGACTACCAAAAGCACAAGGTCAGGCACGAAATTCTTTGGTCATTGAATCAGTTCTGCTGTTAGAAATAGATTTTATTAACCTCAACTATCTATCGACATTGATCTTCTAAAGTTTGTTAATGACTTGAGCTTTTCTCTTGTTAAATGTGGTCGTACCTTTTATGGTCTGCGCAATCGATACCAGAATGAATTTTAAACTTAAACTGAAAAGAAAYTTTTGAGGGAYGCGTACTAAGATTCKAACCAGCGCTATACATTGCCTAACCCGATATTGTCTGTTAAAGWATGTRTACTTCCGGTGTACCACTTCCGGTATGCCTACGTAATAATATCTGTCAATCATGTTATATAWATCATAAGCACATGTAATCTACAAGAGACTCAGYTCAAAWAAAGATGSCTTACGGTCATTGAACATTTTCCATAATCCTACTTGAACGAAAATTGCGAAACATTAGAAAAGACTTAGAAATCAAATAGACCTATCCATATAGGTCTAATAATGATGAAGCAACAGATTTCAAGAAGATATTGATACAAATCCTTATCATTTGGGCAAAAAATGTTGGAGTAGATGACGTTATTTACTCCATCCTTTTGTTGTTCCATCTTTTGAATAAAATTTCTCTGATGTGGGACAATCCCAAAACAAATATTATTCCGCAATTGTTTTTAGTAGACAAATGAGTCATATATTTGTATTGCTTGAAGTTTTGAAATAAGGGCATTTTCATGCAAGTAGCACTATAATTAAAAGCCATGAGCCCAATTCGCTTGAGTTAACCTTAATTTTTGTGATATTTATTCAACGGCACGCATGAATAACCACGTATATGTACATAAGATTRAATATATAATTAATGAATCATCTATAGGGACRTGAGAGCCTTCTATAGGTACATCAGAGCCAAGCATATGGACATCCATATATGGAAGKCGTACGACAACCTCACATCGGTCGTCTCGCATTGATACAGAAGGCACAAAATTTCAAATGTCTTTAAAACACAACAACGCTTTCTAAAATTTCAAATTGTTTGGTTTTCAAAGGTAAATTTGGCATTCCTATAAAACAACTATAAAAACAAATTCCTAAGCTCTAAAACTTTCCTCTGTGTCTATATCATGTGTATCCCATAGTGCCATGCGGTCCTCATATTCATATAATAATAGGTTTTTTAGATATTGTCATGACATTTAACTTTGACCTTAGMGATATATATAGCCTGAGTATCAGGCTCTCTCGAAGACTCAGGCTAAGATATATACCGTAATTGATATATTATAAAAATTGACAAAAAAGACAACAACAACAATAAATAACAATAAAAGAAGCTATAGGAAAAAGAGAGTGAGAAAGAAGAGAGTGCAAAAAAAAAAAAAAAGGAAGAAAAAAGAAACTAGAAAGAAAAAAGAACGAACGGACGATTAATCACTAAAATTACAAACGTTCTCTAAAACTTCTTTCTTCTTCTTAAAGTACTTTACATGTCATGATCATAAAATATGTTGAATATCTTAGAGTWCGCGTCTGAAACTATAAAACCTAAAATTCAAGTCAAATTATAACTTACCTTTCACTGGTAATACTAATGTAATCACACACAAAATGATAATGAAGACATGTTTCTTTAACATATCGTGATAGAGATTCTTTGTCAGATCCCGAGAGACAGTCAAGAGCGTGGAAGAAGGTAGGACAAAGAACAAGAAAAAATGAATGTATTTCTACTTGTTTGCCTTAAATAATGACTCATCATGAATTCTAATACTACTGTATTTATATACAGTGTTTCAAAAGACATTGAACAGAGTTTTGATTCATACAACAAAGAGTTGTTAATATAATTAATGTCGAACTACGTCAAATCAAAGTTGCCTCTTGTTACTTGGTAACTTGGATGATACATTTTATATAACAATGGATAAGCTACTATTGTTTCATATTAACAGGAATTCCCGAAACAGCCACAAAACAGATGTAAATAAATGTTATTGTCGGCACTTATCAGATAAAAACCTGAGGAACCGCACACTTTATTCAATTAAAGCGGTGGATAATTTAATAGATTTAAASAAGTTCCATTTTTGTTTTATTTTAAGATATCCATAACAAGCAGGGTAAAATTTCAAGTTAATCACACGGTGCCAGTTACCACAATATCAAAGTCGAGAAGACTAAAAATAACGCTTTACTAGATCAACTTGTTTTGTTTACACTCAGCTTAATAAAGKTAGTGAGAATTGTTTTTTATCCATGAGATTCATTTGCRTTTATAAAACAATAAATTGATGATTTTGAATGAGAGTAGGCGCCTGCCTCTTGACGAGTTACTTCTGGATACTACCCTGAATTTTCCCATTTATAAAATTCCTTAAAAGTCATTTATTTATTCAATTTTTGAATTGTAATTTACAATTGATGATTCTAAGCATACTTGAACTGGCACCAGTACTTACATTTGCATACACCTAATTACACAAACGTTGTCCAAAAAAAAGAACTTTTACTATTTAGAAGTTAATTACAAAACAAAAGAAAGTGTTCGGCTTCAGTGGTCATTCTTTGTCTTTTAATGTATTCGTAATTTCCTAAATCCTTAAATCACTCAGGACAACGTTTTTGGTGTAAATAAATCCAAAGTGTACTTGTGTATTACGTCATCTACGGCCTATGTGGAGAAGGATTGTTTCTGTGCTCAAATACGATGAAAACTTCTCCATCAAAGGCAACATTCTCACTTTTTAATGTTTAATGGGATAAAAATTCATTTTCATGCTTGTTTTACTAACCTCAGTAGGTTTTCATCGAAACAGATCCCCCGCCAACCAGCAGGGTATCATTTTCAGCGATTTTACTCTGGAACAGGGTATCGATTTCAACGAATTTTCTCTGTAACAGGGTCAGGGTTTTGAGGTCCCAGCGGCGCACCCCCAACCATCTCGTCTGAGCGGGTTTTCGCATTATAAAATAGTAAATACTACAAATGCACATATCAGATACTMGCTCGACAATGTGATAGTCGTATCTGTAATTTAGTGCTACTAGACATCACATTCAAAACCAATGATCACGAAGACTAGAGTAGATGATCGAGAAGTCATTTATTGTATTAAGTAAAATTGATATTATTGCAATCAAAACAAGTAAGGCGCACAGCCCCCTCCCGGCATGCATTTCATTCTTAGAAGCTGTATGCATTAAGGTTATTCTTATTTACATTTAAAAACGCGGGTTTTTTTTACAGATATTCATGTGCATTGATAATTAAAACTTTGAGTGGCGTAATATATACTCATGCCAGCCTTTTTAGGAGTTTTTTTTCTAACGAATGATCTTATCTTCGAGTGTTGAAAAGATCTCTCACGAGTGAGCGTAGCGTAAATGCCTTTTTTCTTATTTCTACTATATAGAAAAACCTCGCATTTGTTTCTTCACCAGTGAAAAAAACATATTTACGAAATGGAGAAATATAGGTATTTCAAAGATAATYATATTTATAAAGTACTTTTTTCTCGAGTGCTGTCTTTGCGTGTGAAATGAACTCACTTTTCATTTTTTATGAAAGCTTGAATMTTGTTTTTGCCCTTGTTTCTTTAAGGTGCACACGTGCATAATTGGGTGCATGAATCTATGCCCTTGCTTTGAGAAGTGTCATTATAATGTAGGTAGATCATTGCATCCRTAGAACTCAATTCTCATCGTAGCATGCCCTATGAAGCCTTTCACAATTAGTCTTATGTATCTGGTTTTTATGGGTACTTCCAGCTCATTGGTCACAACGGTGTTTCGGTCATAATTTCCAGAAAAAACCTGTTCAYAATATAATAATTAGAACATAGAAAAATATGGTGGCAGTAACGACCTTTTTAAAACTTGTTCGTTTTTTCCTCTTAGTGAATTATTCTTGTGAATTTACTCTTGGCAAATAAAAAATGGGTAGTATCGTCGTGTACCGTGTAACCAAGTACGTCATATGTTTCCGAACACACGAGTGGGACTGTTATATTTTGAGATTTTTGGTTATCCTCACTTAGAAAAAAAATTGATCCCGCACTAAATAATTAATATATAAGAACGAAGTGAACACGAATTATGGTCGGGATAATTTGCATACGGTAAATTTACATTACAATAAACTCCCCTGAGGTTTCCCGTACACGACGATAATACCAAAAAATGACGCTAAAAATGTAATCGTCCAGCCCAAGTTTAAAAGCAAAATATGACCCACCTCGGTACTTTTACATTTTTATTCAACCCCAAAAGAGTTTTCTTTTGTGTAATGAATTCCTCCCACTTCTTGCGACATTAATTACGTTGTGTTATCGTCTTTCTCACTATCGGACAGCCCTCCCTCTCTTTACTAATGATCGATCCCTTAAAGCTGAGTGTGAACCTCTTAAGGGAAGGATCACGTGTATCTAACTGTGCATCACGAGCACCTCCTCTGGCTATAACCCTAATCATTTTGGTACATGTTGAACCTGCGGATCCAGCACTAGYTCACTAATTTGCATCATAAAACATTTTCACGGATTTGTCAGTTTATGATGTAAATTGTTGAACTGGTGCTGGATCCGCCAATGCTGTTCACCTTAGTGTAATCTCCGTAGTAATCTTTCCAGTCGTTTCCATCAATGCTGTATGCCAATGAATATTTGGTCACGTACTGAATCCAATCCTCACTACTCCTCCCCTGTGTGGCTACCATGGTGATAACCTTGACACTTCGAAGGTCAATTTGGATGTATTCTCCAATCTTTGGAGTAGCCCAGCCAGAAATACCTTTGCTGTCTTTAACCTTGTTTAGTCGACCATTCCTTTAAAAGTAGTAGGTGTTTAATAAAAATTCTAAACTGCGCGCGATGTCGAGTGTACTACGACTTATACGGCAAATTAAAAACAAAATCCGTAAAAACAATTTTCTTTAATTTTAATCATTTTGATATCAATTTCGCTGCAATCCTATATGACAAAATGTAAACATRWCAAACTTAATGTTGACAAAAAGTCCGTGATATCTCAAGCGTAACCTGACAGTCCGTATGAAGTTTCAAATTCGACGAAAAGAGACCAGATTTCAAGACTTTTTGAAGAAATGGCATTTTGCAATGATATTAAAGACAACCCTAAAAACCTACCATCGAATTTAAGAAATAAAATATATATGTGACCTTGGCTGTGTATTCTTCGTGAGAAAATTTGAAAATCCAAGTATGTATTTGTTGGAGTTGAGCATCTCCATGTTTTGAACACGGCTCGCTTCAAATAACTGGGCCTCTTGCATAACTTGTTTAGTTAATGAAAAACCTACCATCGAATTTATGAAATAATATATCACGATATGTGACCTTTTTGTGTATTCTCCGTGAGAAAAGTATGTATTTTTGCCTATATATTCTTTAAAAAAATGCCATRTTTTCGCCTTTTTCGGCCTCTTCATCTATAACATATCAAAAGATCTAATCTAAGCAAATGTCACCCGATGTATGGCAATAGGTTTGATATGAATATACAGTACACTATATAACCATAATATTTCAACAAGCTCAGTGTTTAGGACGAGTTGATACGTGAAATAAGTTCTTATAGGCACGCCGTCCAGCATGGCTGTTGTTACCACAGGCAACCCAAGCAGAGCAGTTTTTTTAATAAAATACATTTTACCTTAATCTCATGTGTTGCTGATGTTATTTAACATTGCTTTTTATTTGAAGGGATTTGGAGCTATTTTCAAAAAATATCGCCATCAGTCATAAAAGACTATAAGAGTGGTTACAGAGCGTCCTCACCACTCGTCTTTGAARGCCGAAAAAATATCTTAAAACCATATTTTGCCTCCAAACTCCCCTCAGCGGCATGTCTCATTAGGATCATTCTATCCAGAATTTGTCAATATTTCAACGGACTTCAAATCCAACCGTGCAAAATCGTCGTGTTTTTACGCTATTCTGACTCAATTTTTGAATCCGCTCAAGCATTCATCGMCCTTGATGGACACTGTTCCCTCTGATTGGACGACAGTTACCATGGAATCAGTTCAAATACTCCCGACTACTRCTGGGAGTGYAGGAATTTGATAACGCTTGAAAGRCTTTGCATTTGCATCGCTCCTGAAAATAAACCTGCCAGCGTAACTGGCTTCGGTTGAAAACTTCGAAAAAGCGCGCGAACGAGTTTTCCCCTGAGCTGTGTACGTTCGGCTGGCCTCGGGCTTGGCGGGCCCTTTGGGGGATGTAGAYTGTTTTACAAATTGTTACAGGTTGTGTACGAGTGGTGTGGACGCTCTGTAACCAGCCTTGTAGTCTTTTATGAATGATGGCGATTTTTTTCAAAAAATAGCTCTGAATCCCTTCAAAATCATACACAGCAATGTTAAATAACATCAGCAACACATGAGATTAAGGTAAAATGTATTTTATTAAAAAAACAATTTTGAATCAAATGCTCTGCTTGGGTTGCCTGTATTGTTACAGTTACAGAAATAGCGATAGTGATAAGGAATGGGGCGAATACTTTTTATGATCAAACTTCTATTTAGCAATTGAGAATAATCTAACCATTAAAGCTAAGACAAAAAAATTGCTGTTCGGGAATTATATATTTTCGCTTCTGATTTGGGAGGAGCAGCTGAGATGAAAATCTGTCAGTCCTCTAGCTTACCATGGCCCGTGAAAAGTGTCTCTGGAAGAGTGTGTGTAAGATGAAGCATTAATTTGCTCATCTTTTATGCGTCCGTCTTCCATTCCCAACGGATCTTTGCATCCTAAAATGGAAAATCATCCATGAACAACGAAGCATGAACACRAACAAATCTGCCAGTATAAGCAACGTGGAGTAAGATTGTCATACTTTACCAGATATATCAACAATTGGGACCGATTTGCATGTCTTGATCTCTTTGTCGAATCCAACACAGTYTGCTCCTTTATTCAATGGAGGTGGACTGGTACAGCTGCGGGCTCTATTCTGAACGCAGCACATCGATGGTATCGAAGACATCCAAGGACTCCACTGGGTCCAGCCTCCATCTGATRTAAACACAAAAACAGGGATATTCATCATCTGGGGTAAGTTGTTCAAAGTGTGGATAAAATTATCAATCCGTTTAAAGTTATCACTAGATTTTCTACTGGATTTTGCCCGCTTGATAAGGATTTATCCGCTGGACATAACCGCCTTTCACCCTTCGCTCATGGTGAGGGGACTCTGTAAAAACTCACAGGATATTCACACAAACACACAACATTATATATTTGCTTTTTGAGGGGTAACAGAGCGGCCGATGCAGTTTCAAAATAACAATTTGAAAATAATGTTTCATTGYCTGTACTCTTTTTTGGTTTATTAGACGTTTCTAGTTACCATCACAGTTGTACGTATTCCAAGCAAAATCARGAGTGCAGAGTCTTCCAGGTGAGCAAGGATTGGACATACAGGGATTCTGGTAAGAGTATGATTAAAAATATATATCATGTTCTCGTAGTGAATTTCTGCATAACGCTTTTTTGTATTTCTAAACGGGATGACCATTATAAAAAGCTCCTTTGTGTCTTCGGAAACAATGGATTTATAGCCATAAAGTTGTTCACCAGCGTAAAACCAATCACCACAATAGGTTTTGACTCATAAAACTAAATGTGACATCATAATGACGTCGTTTACGTCATTTTTAYGCCGGATTAAATTGCATTTTGTAAACCGCCTACAATGTCATAGAGAATGCTGCGACATCATCTCTTTATTATTAAATGTCTTGGRAATAAAAGTTGCTGTAAAAGCGAAAGTTTATACAGTTTTTCAAATGTAAAATTCGCGCTAAGAGCACAGGAAAGGTGAGATCCTTTCAACTCGGCATCTAATTGACAAATGAGCTGGACTTGGCCTGGCCAGCCGCCTTTTATACAGGAACGTCCTGTTTAAGACAGTACCTCACCTGAATTGGACAATATTCGTAACCTGTTTTGCTGACCAGGAAACTCGGTCGAGTCGAGTGGTCAGCGACATTCAATTCACATGACCTCGTCTGTCCGAGAACTGAACCCAAGTTGTACGACACACATTTGTGTTCACGAAAACATTTATTCTGACACAGTTGAAGAACAGGTGTCATCATCTTGATTGTACTGATCACGTGACCTGTCAAGGTTTTGTTCTCGATGCATTTGAGAAACTTGAGATCTCTACAGCCACCTTCACCTGTTGAGGAAGACATGTTTAAAAAAAGTTTCAAATATGTTGATAATAATATTAATAATGATAATAATGATGAAAACTTTATTTTGTTTTTTGTTACGTCTACTATTCTAAATCTTTCTACTTATAGGAGAATTACAATTGGCTACTTGATTAACACTTATTATTTACATAAACTTGACTAAAAACAATAATGATAGTAATATTCAACAATACCTCAACAATATTTCATCAATTCTGGTTTCATCCATGTCTTATTCTTACAGAAAAATATGTAATTTTCATCATCATCCTGCGRCATCCGAGGCCGGGAGGTCGGCGACAACAGAATGCCACATAGCGCGGTCTTTCATAACCTGGCTCAGCTCTCCAACTTCGATACCTGAGTCCCTTCATAGCATTTGTGGGTATGTGGTTTTTCGGTTTCGAATCGGGAGACTTCGGTTCCACAGCAAAAGAGTTGAGATGATTTCACTCTCTGCTCTCAGGCAGTGTCCTGCAAATTGAAGACGTCGACGCATTAGAACATCTGAAATAGCAGGTAGTTTTCCATAGATTCTCCCCTTTGTTGCATGTTCTGACCAATGGATATTCTGAACCCGACGGAGAAGGTTCGTATATGTCCCGTCCAGTCTTCTTTGAGTTGACATTCTTAGAGTCCAAGTTTCTGCTCCATAGAGAAGAACTGGTTCAACTAGATACTGGAACAGGAAGACTTTGTAATCATTGGGCAGATTTGAGTGCCAGAGCTTTTGAAGCTTGTTGCAGGTTGCCCAGGCTRGCGATTTCCGAACTTTAAAGTCCTTTTCAGAGTCCATTATCCACGATCCAAGATATTTCAAGTCTTGAGCTCTTTTGGTGCTTGATCCGGAAAGAGATTTTAGGTCTTGTGAGCTATCGACAGTGTTAATGTACTCTGTCTTGCTCTCATTACAATAGAGTCCAATAAGAGCGGCTGTCTCTTCTAGGGACTACAGCGCTTCGGCATCTTCTACTAGTTCTGCGATAAGAGCCAAGTCATCTGCGAAGTCCAGGTCTGTTAGATGTTGTGCCAGGTGTCTTCGACTACGCCTAGGTTGAATCTGTAGGCCCCTGACKTTCAGATTATCGGGGGATAAGCATGAAAGTATGTAGTCAAAGACAATGACAAAGATAAAGGGGCGAGGGTGTCACCTTGGGGTACCTCAGCTGTGATCTCGAAAACCTCTGTTTCTCAATCTGGCGTGATGGCAGTAGCTTYGGTGTTAATATATAGTGCCTTTATAGCGTCAACAATAGCTTCGGGGATTCCATGAAGTCGAAGGATGTCGAATATGGCTTGTCTACTTATCGAGTCGAATGCCTTGCAAAAGTCCACAAAGCATAGCGTCAGCTCCTTGTTATGCTTCCGGATTTCTTCAATGATACGCCGTAGGGATAAGAATTGGGAGATTGTTGAACGTCCTTATCTGATTCCATTTTGGTTTTTGCACAGCCAAGGATAAACTTCAGGGACGATACGCCTTAATAGGAGCTTGTTGTAGATCTTAGAAGCTATCAATWTTTTAATTTAATYTAAWTTTAATTTATTAGCTTTGCCCCTAGTATGGGCAGGGACACCGCAACAGCRTGAGCCAATTACTGCGGACCCTGTACTCTCACACTCACTACCTCTACTTTAAGTATTTTAGCACACATCACTCCTCACATGTTGATTTTTACTGAGGGAGGAAAACCGGAGGACCCGGAGAAAAACCCTCGTGGCAAGGGAGAGAACAACACATCMAACAAACTCAAACTCACATATGGTCCGTGCCCGGGAATCGAACCCGGACCACAGCGGTGAGAGGCCAGCAGCTTAACCACTAGGCCACCCTTGCCACCCTTGCCATCGCAGACAGTGATGTGCCACGATAGTTTGATGGTAAGGTCAAGTCTCCTTTTTTGGGTAGGGGAGTGATACCAGCCTTCCGCCACGCTGTTGGGGGATTAAGGTGGAGGAATGTGTCGTTACAGATGTGCAGCAGGAGATCGTGGAAGATTGGATCTTTCCAGATAAGCGTTGGAATATTATCAAGGCCTGGAGACTTTTGATCTTTTAAGGTACTGGTTACTGCGTTGATCTCTTGCATGGTGAGGGTTCCGTGCTTATGTTGAGGGTGTCAGTAATCTGCACTTTTKKTAGCTCTTGTTTATTTGAGGTTKGAGTAGCGCCTAGGAGGTTTTTGAAGTGGTCTACATTGAGCCAGTTCTTCTTCCTTTCCGAAGCCGAGCTCCCTTTTACACGAATTGATGGCTTGCTCCTTCGTCCCGCAAGGTCTTTAATAATGTCCCAGGCGGTGACGTGCTGATGGTTTGCACTCTTGGGTGGCAGTCGATCTGGATAGATTCTGCTTCAGCATTGGCATAGGCTTCATCGAGTCGTCTCTGRGCCTTATTATATTAACCCTTTGAAGTGAGCCCGATGRTGGKTTGTCCTGATATTGTTTTCTGGCGGCAATGACAGCATTTCGAGCTTCCTAACCAACAAGTGGGCGCTTAGTGGCAGGGATTTTTGCTTATTCGTTTTGGGCAGGGTTGACTGAGCGATTTCATCAGTACATTTGGTGATGTTATTATAGATTGTCTCAATATCGTCATCTGGTTGTAAGAGCGCGTCGTAAAGATTTCTCAAGTCAATAGCAAATTGCTGACGGATGGTTTTTCACATGAAGAAACCAGCTTCCAGTCGATCTTTTTCATTGGGTTTAAGTCAGGCTTTTTAGACTACCTAAGGCTTAAGCAAGTGGTACAGGAGACGATACGATRATCAGAGCCAATGCTACTGAATGACGAGTAGGACTGGCAGTTTCTGATGCTGTTTCTCCATTTCTTCCTAACAAGAATGTAGTCTATTTGTGAGAGTCTTTCAGACGGATGTTGAAATGTCCATAATTTCATAGGCGGCTTCAAAAAGATGTTATTTGCAACCATCAGCTGGAACTCTTCGACGTAGTCGACCAGCATTTCTCCATCACGATATGTTACATAGTTGAACGTAAAGGGAGCATCTCCTGGTCCTATTTGGGCATTAAAGTCCCCTGCGATAATGAGAACATTATGTGCTGGAACTGTGTCGGTCGTATCATTCTGCTCGTGATAGAATTGGATGACGTCTGTTTCGGGGGAGAAGTTTGTTGGGCTGTAGCAGGCGATCACGGTAGATTTCGGATTTCCACCAAAGTCTGCTATCATTATRCGGGGAGATATCCTTTCCGCTTTCAGTAAGTTATCTGATGCCCGTGGTGACAGTAGCGAGTCTTGGACGTTTTTCCATGCAGAGATTGTTATAAATTGGTATCCSCTGATTGTTTTGTACTGTACCTTTTGTATGTATCTGTGTGAAAAATTCTATGTTCTTGGATGCTCATGACATCAATCTGTTGTTTCTTGTCACAGTGGATTAATTTCTCTATTTTTCCGGTTTTGAACAGTGCCCTGACGTTAAATGTACTTTAGATTGTTGGAGTTTTGCATTTCAGCAAAGTTTTGGGTTTGGTTTTGGGTCCCATAATTTCTCCCCTTCTCTCGCGAAAACTCCGAGGGTTTAGGGGATTTTGCTCATACCTTTTCCGTGGGAACTGGTTCAAAGTGGGACTTGAAGTGGCAGGGACTGAAACCCTGGTGTGATCATATGTTGTGCTTTTCATCCTTTCGATAGCTAAAGTTATGTCATAGGTGTGTCGCCACTACTACCTATAGGGTGCATGTTGGCCGTTGGCTCCGGGGAGCTCATCCGCCCTTTGACAGGCTTTGTTCTTCGTTCTGAAGGGTGACATAGCACCCACCTCACCAGTTAGAACTGGTGGGGAGGGACGGTTTAGACGCCGACCATCCCTCCATGCGGCAGGTTGTACTGGGTTACAATGTTACCAGTAGCAGGGAATTCCTGACCTGACTCAGGGATGTAATAAGTAGTTCTGATAGCAATTTTTACGATAGATCGAATGACAGAGATTTTTTTACATTYATCATCAAATCCTAGGTTGTCGAACATTGAAATAAAATTTGATGACTCATTGGCAAATACACCAAGAGCACCTACAGACAGATTTACAAGAAGCACTTTTTTGAACTGACTTTCTAAGTCTTTCAGTCAGTAGAGCTTTGTATTTATCTTTTTTTCTAACTATGTTGTTCCGAAGATTTGACTCAAAACCCACTGTTAGATCTAAAACGTATAACAAGCCATCAGATGTAACGATCAGTAGATCAGGGCTGTGTTCATCATCTGTAAGCATTGAGGGACTTCTAAAATTAGGTAAATCAGCATAAAGAGAAGATTAGTTTACAGTTTTTAGAGATTTTGCTAGGGAATTTAGAATTGAGTCATGCCTCCAGGTATATAGTCCTTCATCAAGATAATTCTTGCAACCCGCAACCAAATGGCCAAGAGTTTCTGACTTCAAACAGAATGAACATTCTTGTGTAGATTATATGCCCCATTTAGAAAGGTTTTTAATTGTAGGTAGAGTGTTATTTATGTAAACGGATAGTAAAGTTAAATATATTTTTGGTAACTTCGACTGTGMAATAGACCAGATTTTGATCATCTCAGTTAGGCAGTGCTTGTTGACATTTGAAAAGAAAAAGCCTTGTGAAGAAAAATCCTTCTGAAGCTTATTTTCATGTTCAGTGTGAAATTCTCTGACAATAACACGATGTGTTTATCAATCAGTAAAATATATACTATTTTTTTTACAGTAAAATGTATAAAATCTAAAAATATGCTACTTAATGAATAAATTATGTTTGAAATATAACCTATTTATGAAAGATGATTTGAATCGCTCAATATCGAATTTAGGGGTAAGACTGCTAGTATTTCTGAGTCTAAAGGCCCGTTTACACTTGCAACTTTYGCAGCGCGATTATCGCACGACAATCGCCACTTTGTTCTCTYGCACCTCAAATCGTACGTGTAAACAGCCCCGCGATTGTCGCGACGATCAAAAATCGCCGCKAGWTGCAGCTAAATTTCAAGCATGTTCSAAACTAAGGCGATTGTGGCRCGACAATCGCGCTGCAAAAATTGTAAGTGTAAACGGGYMTTAAGAGAAGATTCCTTGGTAGTAGGTAAAAGATTTATGTAATGGTTGATTAGCATTACAAGCTTTATGAAAAATAGAACTATCTGATTTTTAAGTTAAAAATATCTATAAAATATGAAAAGTATTTCCGCTTGTAACAACCACATTGAACAGTAGTTAACTCAGGTTGGAAGAGGGGTTTGAAAAATGCTGTTCTGATTAGTRCAAGCCCTGCTTGCTTGTATACCACTCGTGCTCAGCAGATCGGAAAATATTTCAGACCTCAGTGCAAACAAAAGCACGAATTATTTCTTTTAGAATGTCTGGTTGATAAATTGCTTATTGATGCTGAAGTTACAACCCAAAAACTGAATTAGAAATTCACAATGAAAAATATTTAACAATATAAATGTTTAACAATAAAAAATTAACAATGCAATCTAAGGTAGAAGAAAAAACGAAAATACAGATAAAAACATACTATAAAACTATAAAACATCACAATCTCTCCTTTCGTTTACTGTCATTATGACAAATTGTAAATTTATTTTGAGGGTTTGGACCNTTAGACATCTTTACCATAAGCACACTCTATCAAATAATAGTGGAACACTAAATATGTTAATGAGATAACATGACACGCGAAACCATTGTTTCATTGAAAAACGCAACACCCGTATCAATGAAATGTTATGCTTTATTAGATACTATTGAATTTTTTCAGGAAGTGGAATACACTCAATTGCACTTATTGTATATTAACACATAACATACTAATCTGACTCAGATTTGAACCTTTCAAAGGCTTTAGATATTTTGTCCATCATAGACACAGCGCGCACAGTTTTCAGAATACACTCAATTGTACTCCGTTGTACTAATTGCATGATTGGTATACATAAGTTTTAAATTCACAATTCTATAGTCGGAAATGTTTTATTTTTAGATATTATCAAAGAGGACAACATGTTTTAGAGCCAAAAATGTACAAAGCTCTACAACTACAGGCTGGAATCACCGAGGWTGGCGCCAGATAGTACTGAAAGCTCGATAGGTTKTAACGTGTTTAAATGTATGTTCCACTATTACTCGGCACTTAGGTAGATTTTTGTTAAATCTTCGCGCTCACCTCTGATCAGCCCTTGSCAKTCGGCGGATTTGTGGATTGCGAAACGGTGTTACCAGCGGGGGCACATCTGCATAACCTTTGTCAGCTAAAAGAAATACATCTCCAGGYATATCATAATTAGTCCCAGGACCAACGCTTTCCATCAGATTATRATTACCTGCGTCATTCATAGAACCCAAAAAACCAGCTTGCGAAAAAACAAATTTTCCTAGATTATCAACGATTAATTGCGTATTGTTCATTAAATGATAATGGCGATGACCACTGTAAAATTGCCTCTGTGGTTYTGTCTCCGGTCTGTATATCTCATGTAGAGTTCCATCGATACAGCCTACAGCWTTWGGAAATTCTGCCCAATTTCCTCTGAGTGCGTTCCACTCAGCAATTGTTGGCTAAACGACTTGGTTTTGAAAATATCTCCATAAAATTGGTATGACTTTATGAATTATCATATTCACGGTTGAGGGACTGATATCAAATATGAGAGAAAGGGTGCCCAAGCACGGATATTTTCGCAGACACATTACTGACAACAAAACTTGTCATTTTCACAATCTCCGCCGAGGACCCCCGCCCTTTGATATTAGRGAGTCCCCCCCTCGGGCTTTGAGAGTCGCATCCTTGGCTGTAAACACAGATCGATAGTCTTTCGCATTCTTCGCTTAGTAAAATACTACTTCAATCATTTTTTTTCCCTCAGTATAACTCTGTTGACATCTCTTAGATAAGTCGTTGGTGATTGTAGAGCCTGTGTAAGTTAGTATATAATTCGCTTTTGATAAGATAGGAAGCTTGTTTGATAGATAATTCGCAAGTAGGTTTCACGATAAATTCGCCGTATCTACAAACACCCTTTCGAAAAACGCTCGACATTTTTTAGAGTGGCTATACCGCGAATGGTGTGTGTATTTGTAAGAGATTTGAGCGTAATTGTAGAGGCTAGATCCATGTGATCCATCTYTTATAAACTTGCGAAGGTCCTAAGAAGCACGAGGCGGGCTTAGAAACGCTGCTTAGAAACTTGAATAACAAAAAAGAATGCATATCAAATAAGAAAAAGGTCCCGGATATACCACTGTTGCAAACAGTTTATATACGTGTCACAACCAAGAATCTATCAGCTGTCATATTTTATTCTTTTTACATGTATATGTAGTGTTTACATGAGATAGGCTGTCACTACATAGCAGAGTCAAACTCTTTTGTTTTTTTTYCCTCAACACAAGAGTTTGGCTCCACTACCTAGGATCACAGATCTGACACTTTATTGTCAAGAGTKATATACGTCCTTCCTGACACATTACAATTGGTCATTTCCCATATATGTTCTTATYAACTTTGAAGTATGAATCCACCATATATTGTCACAATTTCATTCATAAAAAATCTAATAGATGTTACTACGACGATCATTTTACTTACATCATGCATTGAACACAGTTTAGACCATAACTATRACGTATGACATACATAACATGGTTAAAAAATGGTGCTGACATAACGAGGAACGATTTGCTGGCTAAAAGTCTTTTGAAGGGGTTTCTTATATAGCTAAAGTGGTCATTAGGTGGGAAGCTCAGCGCAGCCGTAAAGCTCTATTCGTACAGTTGCATGCCGTTTGAAATCTTTCACAATCAGTCTGATGTGCCTGGTTTTGATTGGTACTTCAAGCTCGTTAGTCACGACAGTGTTTTGGTCGTAATTACCAGTAAAGACCTAAGGACATAAAAACAAGAGCGAAGATTAAATAGTAGTATGTGCAAAGGTGGAGGTTAATGCTAATGCGTTCGATTTAAAATTTGTTTGAAAATTTTAACGATCATCTCCCTGGGGGGATACTCGACCCCGTTTTGGATAGGTACGTGCCGCCAGCGCTCTAAAACCCTGAACCTGTTTAAGACACTAGACTTCCTAGATTTCTGAGAATCGTACCTCTAGCATATAATGTGGTTGAAGATACTAATTGATGCACAATAAAGAAAATAGCGCTGAAATAACGGGGAACGATTTGCTGGCTGAAAAGTCTTTTGAAAGAGATGCTTAGGTGGGAAGCTCAGCGCAGCCGTAAAGCTCCATTCTTTATGTTGCATGCTTTTTGAAATCCTTGACAATCAGTCTGATGTGCCTGGTTTTGATGGGTACTTCAAGATCGTTAGTCACGGCAGTGTTTTGGTCGACGTAATTACCAGGAAAGAGCTAAAGACATAACAAGTAACAAGATCGAAGATAAAATACAAACATATCATCGTCTCCATCATCACCAGTGATTCCTTTTACGATGTATCTGCACTGTGCAAGGACCCTCCGGGCAACTATAAATCTACAAGGGAGGTGCCAGAGGGGCCTCCCCCCACCAATTCCCTTTGGGAAATAATCGACTTAAATTGATGCATGCATAAGCATAGTTCGACAGACAGACAAACGCATATCTAATTTTTGGATCAGACTCTTCCACAGATACTGATTCTTCCAGCCCAAGAAATAGTTACGTCATAGCGCGCATGCTCAGTTGTTCTTGTGAGTTCCGCGAATGAATAGGCACGCGTTCATATTATTGTACACGACTGATTCAGAGGAATAAAGTTGAAGAAAATGTGATTTTATAACACTGATCTTTTTTTGCCGTAGAGCAAATTCTTCCTCAAGAAGACAGGTTGAGAGTTAATGAGTACGGACATATGATGAGAAATTGGGATTAGCTCAAAGAGGAATGGTTCGTAATCGTAATATGTGATAAGGTGGAGGTTAATGCTAATGCTTGGATCGATTAATTTGCTAAAAAATCTCAGCGACCATGTTAAATGTAAGAATAATTGAGAGAGAGCGTAAAATATCTGTCCAGTTAGCATCAATTTATTAAAAGAAATAGAGATGAAACCACACAATATCGGTTAAAGTGCTAGTAAATATATCTGCACTAAATGTTTTGCAAACTAAATTGGGCAAATAAGTGTAAATTCCTTTGCCTTCTATTGCTTAATTAGTGCAGTTTTGTGCAATTTCTTGAAAAAATGTTTCACTGAAATATTGAATGCACTCACATCCATTGATTTATATGAGCAATGAGGAAAACATTCAAAAATAGCACTATACAGTTTCGAAAATGGTAAATATATGAAGAAAAAAAGAAAAAGAAAAAACAATAGGGCAACACTTTATTCATTTTTCAATTCTAACCTTTGTGCAATCTCCAAAATATTCTTTCCAATTATTCCCATCATTACTATACGATAGTGAGTACAGGGTCACGTACTGTAAGAACCTTGTACTATTTCTCCCCTGTGTGGCTACCATGGTGATGACATTAGTACTTCCAAGGTCAATCTGGATGAACTCTCCAATCATCGATCTGCCAGCAGCCCATCCTCCGATACCCTTGCTGTCACGTTGTTTATTAAGCCTGCCATTCCTGTCACAATTACATGTTTCAAAGAAGAATTAATTATTACTGAATGTAAACTACTTATTTCTAACCATTTTAATTCTAGATGTTTAACGGTTAATACCAGTAGAACTGAGTTTGACATAAGGGGTCGAGACCATGTGATTCTTGGATGGACGAGTGGGTGATGTTATCGGTGCAAGAAGCTGTTTTTAGATGGAAATGTATTTGGTAAATTCCATTTGGTAAAAATGGAAGGAATTCAGTGTACGATCTTGTCTCCTAAAACTTTGACAAATGAACGATTGCTAACGAATTCCTGAAAGTTTCCCATTAAGAATGAACAGCAATAGACTATATGAAAAAGGGCATGGATATCGTAACTCCTTAGTTTTATAAGATTTTTATTGTATCATTGCTACCCTTTGAAAGAACACATCACAATGAATACGATCTGAAAGTTTTAATGCTCTAACATTTAAGGACCAGAAATTACAGGTGTTTGAAGTTGCAAAGGTTTGAGTGAAAATGAGTATGGAGGCCTGAACCAGCCTCGTTTTCACGTTTTTGTTACATTTCAAATGCACATAACTCTGCTGATATTTAACATTTGAGACTAAATCTCCACCAAGTTACTAATTGAGATATACTCCTTCATACGATGAAAACAGATGTTTAAAAATTTGCTGGAACATGCAGCAACATTCAAATATCTCAAAGCATGACGTGTTCAGAAATAAATCATGATTAATGGTCACGAGGCGGAATTATTGAAAACAGTACCTTGCTGCGTGTATTTGAGACCCTGTATATGATGAAGCATTAATTTGTTCATCTTTAATCCGCCCATCTTCCATCCCTAATGGACTTTTACAGCCTATATGAATCACAATTAGTATTCAAATGAAGAAACAAGTCAAAGCAGAAATAATCGTAGCTTTCCAATTAAGAAATAATGTACTATTCTTCAACACCTATCCGTTTCATCAAGATACTGTATGCTTGATGTAATAATTCATATTGGTGTGTGATCTTGAGGTGGAGAACACACGCTGCCCAGTGCAACAAACCTAATTATCTCTTACCAGAAATGTCGATAACTGGGAGAGGATTGCATGTTTTGTGTTCTTTGCTTGATCCGATACAGTTAGCTCCATTACTTTGAGGAGCTGGACTCGTACAAGTCCGTGTCCTAGTCGGGACACATATCGATGGTAGAGAACATAACAAAAACCTCCAAGGACTCCACTGGCTCCAACCTCCATCTCAAAACAGTACAGATAATAGTAAACATTTCAATTTTTCATAAATTTAGCCCGTCTGAAAAGCTCAAGTTAAAAAAAAAACAGATTCTCAGCTCATGACAAAATAAGTACCAACAAAAGCTGAATTATTTAAAAAAAGAAATTTACTAACGGATTTCCAGGCTGAAAACGAGAGAAGCGTAGCTTCCCAGCTTCTCTCGTGTTCTCCCTACATCTTGCGTGTTTTGATACTCAAAGTTGTGACTATTAAATTTAGTGAAAGAAACACAACATCCGTCGCCAGTTCTTTTCTACATGAACTTACCATCACAGTTGTATGTATTCCAGGCAAAATCAGGTGTACAAAGTCTTCCTGCTGGACAAGGATTTGATAAGCATGGATTCTGTGAAGTGACCGAGACACAGTATATCAGTAAATATCAACAAATGGACTATTGAAGCTTATTGAGGTGCTTTGTTGCAATCTCATGTACTCTTGAATGTTTGTCAAAACAGGGTAACCGTAGTCCCTTCAGCCGAACAATCTCCAATCTCCAATACTATATTGTAGTATGAAAACAAAGATCCTCTTAACGCTAAGAACTTATCCCCATGCGGAGATATATCAGCAAAATCGCAATTGTTAAAAACGCCTGCTGTTGTTCGTGACAATATAATTGAATAATAATAATTAACATTTGAAAGCGTGACATCATGAATTATAATTGATCCGCAATAGTCATTAACGAAATCCTAAAATATCTTAGACTTATGCCAAAGAATAAGCTAATACTTTTCAGTTTACAGCTTTTCACCTTGATTGGACAATATTCATAGCCTCTCTTGTTGACAAAGAAACTCGGCCGAGTCGAGTGGTCAGCGGCATTCAACTCACACGACCTCGCATGTCCAAGTACTGGACCCAAGTTATACGACACACATTTGCCTTCTTGAAAACATTTATTCTGACACAGTTGTAGAGCTGGAGTTGCCATCTTGATCGTACTGATCACGTGACCTGTCAAGGTTTTGTTCTCGATGCATTTGAGAAACTTAAGGTCTCTACAGCCACCTTCACCTGTTGAAGAGGTTTATGTTAAAGTTTAAATAAACTTTGAAAATATTAAGCCGAGTAGCATGACAATATGAAGAACATATTAACCAAAAAAACTATGTGAACTATTGCTCGCTTTATATAATGAACAACTGATTGCTGACTAGTTTCTCTACAGTTGATCATCAGATTTTGACAGAAAATGATGCCTAGTAGTGGCCAACTTTAATCCAATTGCTGACATGGAACTATTTATTACTAAAATATTAAATAATTCATAGTCAGCCATCTTATTGTCGATGATTTATAATTGACTCTTCCACTTTCAAGCTGCGTCGATTATTTTGAGAGACTTGACGAGGACATTTTCAAACCCAAATATTTTCATCATTAATGCAAAAAATTAAAAAAAAATGTTTCGACCATAGTGACTTTTAAGGTCAAGTCATCTATACTTGATCGTAATTGCCATCTCTTCAGCTAAATAATTCATGGTATTCTTCAAAGGTGATGTGCAATAAATAAAAAAATATATAACTCAACTATACAGTATTTTTCAAAAATTCGTAAGGCTAACATATATAGAAGTTATTACATGGGCGCGAGGAGATATGTGTTTTATATTCGAGTGTTGGCAAGATCTCTTTGAGTGAGCCGTTTAATATTCTCTTTATCGAATAACTATCTATGAAAGCAAATTATCACTAGTTAAAATAACAATTTTTAGAATTTCATATAAAGGTAATTGTGTGATAAATATTTATCATTTTTCCATTGACGAAAGGAATATTTACAAAATTTTAAATGCGTTTTACAACATCTGTCAACGGATCATTATAACATGTACAAAATGACGTAGGAAGAAATATTTTAATGAACGTATTGTTGAAAATTATCCATGAAGTATATGCCAGTTTGAACCTCTTTACATTTTTGTCCATGCTTCATGGGTTATCTGTCACTGTCGCAATGTGTTCTCTTTTTAGGGACTGTGCAATAATTACCAGGAGGGAGGGCCGTAAAACAAGATTTCTTAAGCAGAAAATTAGTGAGAGTCATCCCTCCGAAGCACAAGAAAATAGCTCTTACCCCCAAAATTCAAAATTTGAAGGAAAAAACTCTTGGAAATGCGATTTCCAGCATTTCGAGGGACAGCGAAACTTAAGGCCCCCCTCTGTTAATTAGGTAATTTTACTTTGAGCCCCCTATCTTGCCATCAATTTTATCTAATGTAGGTGTGGTCACGTGACCCCTACCCCCCCCCCCCCTCCTCTGGTTTTACGGGCCCCCTCCTGGTAATTATTGCACAGTCCCTTAGATAAAATTTTTAAATTATTCATAATCTTTCGAATTCTGCTTTTTTGAGTTCTTCAACATACTTTGTACTGCAGTAACATTGAAATATCTTGTACATTAATAAAATCAGAATAAACAAGCAAAACTTTGACGAAAGGCATTTTTATAGAATTTTAAATGCGTTTTAGAGCATCTGTCAACGGATCATTACTCATGTAAAACGTACAAAATGACTCAAGTTGAAACTTTTCAATGAACGTATCGTTAAAAATTGTCTATAAAGTATAAGTCAATTTGAACCTTCGTTAATCTCTGGTTAGTAGTAATTGAACCATTTTCAGAGATCCAGACTGATTTACAGTAGCATTTTTTGACTCGAACATGTTTTTTTATTTAACTCAAGTTGTCCCGCAGTAAGGTTCAACAGTCATGCTGTGCACTATTTTCCTCCCGTGAAAAAACTTTGCCTAAAAAATAACAAAACTCCTACAAATTAGTCTTAAAAAGAACACAAGGACTGCTTCCTTATTAAACAAGTTTATGATCTTCTTTTTATTTTTACTCGACGAATTTTGAATGTTTTTGTTATTGGCAATTATAAAATTTTTGATATATAACGCTCGCTCTGATTAGCTGACGACCGTGTTTATATCGGAGGGGTGACAGAGAAACGGCTTACCGGCAAAATTTTCTTTTCGTTCGAAAAATTTTATAAAAGAAATATAAAACGGCCGCTTGTGTCTCTGTCTTCTGATATAAACACGGTGGGAGTTGAAAAACACTCGAGAAGCACGCTCGTTTTCCTAAGCTTGCTTCTCTCGTGTGTTTTTCGTACTATGTTTATATCAGAGGACAGAGACACGCGCGACGTTTTATATTTCTTAAATAAAGTATTAATGAATACGTTTTCATGTTTTTATCATGATTTTAGAGACGAATCAAAAGTAAAATTTATCCAGCAGAAATGAACGGTTCTTATTTATATTCTTTACGTGATAGATTTCAATATTTTCTTATTCTTTCTTTTTCTTACCTCTATTCTCTTTTTTAAACTTGAAGTTCTGATTTGAATTTGGTAATCATAATAAAAATAAAAAATAAAAAAAAAAAAAAAAAAAAACGAAAGGAGCTTTGAACTGTAATGATGAAAGCTGATGTTAAAATTAATGTAAGAATGCTACAAGATTTATTAATTAAATAGCGGCGTTTGTAGACAAAATATTTAAGTGGAATGCTTAAGTTATCTGTGCAACAATCTATTTGTAATTTGGGATGATATAATCTAAAACTGCACAAAGATTTGTGAACGACGCTTGTAGAAGTCAGAATGCACGATCGAAAGGGACTATGGTTTCACTGTTTTGACGAACAAAATTATATTTATTGTATCGACCTATATAAAAATGGAGACTAAATAAAACCAGTGTTTACCACTGACAAACTTATATTAAACATCAGTTGGTATTTTTCATCAGTTAGCAAAACTCATGGTTGCTTCGGTCGTGCAATCACCGTTCGACAATCTTTTTTGAAATAAGTATATAATATAGCTGTGATAGTATACCTTTGACGTGAAATGGCAAGGAAAAAATTATCAAAATCATCATTTTGTTCCAAAACCTTTTTCAGTTGGTGAAACCTTTTCAATGTAGTAAGGTAAGGCCTAAAGTATTTACTCTACATACGTCTTGTTAGATGTGAATAATTGATGACAATCGCCACAAGGAGCTTCATTGAAAGAAATGTAAATTATGCTAGCAAAAACATGAAAATGTTTTTGATGATCTGAATAAATCTATAGTTTTGCATGTCCAATAATAATATTTCTTTAAATAATGTGTTGATATTTTTTTATAATTCATTCTGGTATTTTTTGTCACCAAATTGTATTTCTGCATTATGTTTCCTAATCGATACATGCATACATTTGCGCTGTTTTAATTTGTTCGTATTTAATTTTTTTTCTTTTTTTGCGACCTTCTTGAACCTATTCAAGAGGAGAAGGGTTGGCTTTTAACCCCCATCAAGTAAAATGCCAAATAACTTTGGAACCCACCTAAACGGCTGAAATTTTTCAGCTTTTCTTTCAAATTTATCTGCGCACATTTTGGTGTCAATCACATGTCGGTGTTGTCATCCAGCTACATTCACTCGTGAGAGATCTTTTCACAACTCGAAGATAAAATCCGTATATCCGCGCACCCATGTAATATCCTCTATATATAGTAATGTCCATGATCATGGGAGATCTCATCAACGACTTTCATAATGGCCGAAACTAATTAGCATACAATCGATAAATTTATAGCGGAGCTCCCGCGCGGGCCTAAGGCCCGCGCGAGCGGAGCACCATAACTAAGGAAAAATGGTAAACCCATGAGGTTGAGGTTTGATCAACCGACACAGGAAGCCCAGTTGTCCTTCCGTACGTACGTACGTACGTACGTCCGTGTACATCGCGATTCTGATTGGCTACTTTTGAGAAGGCGGGAAAAGGAAGCGCGCTCGCGTCAGTTTTTGAAAGCATCTTTTTCACCACAACGACTCCATTTTTGTCCTTTCAAATACTTTACTTCTGCGCCAAATGTCGGAAAATCAACGGGTAGCTAACGGAAAGCGATCTTTATCTGAAGAAGAAAAGACAAGAAGAAGAGAGAAGTCTAAGTGAAGAACAACGCAGGCTTGAAAGGGAAAACGTGAGAGACGAAGCAAATCGAGAAACAAGTGAACGCCAAAGACAACGATTATTGAGGGAGAATTTCTCATAGGAGAACTGACATATTCTCCGACGATACCGTGGCGTTATTAAACAAATGGCGGTATGTTAGATTCATATGAAACTCACTGTTAACAAAAGCTTGCAAACGAGGTTAATAACACTTATATTATATGACTTTTATGGTGAAAAGTACGAACTTCCGCTTTGTTATCGATTGCTATCGATTCGCTTGAGTGCGCACGTGACAAATAAGCTAACACTTTGACAGGCAAAAGTGTGTTTATTCGTGTAATTACACAACTGACAATCGTCGAAATGGAGGGAGACTTTTCTTATCTATGTTTCACTATATAAATGGCTTTTTTGTCAAGTGAAAATATGCAAGTCAAAGAGACGAAAATAGTGAAAATGTCAAGTGAAACGATCCAAACATCGGGATGAGTTCAAAGTTCAAAGTTCAAAGTTTTTCACTCTTCGTCGTCACTCTCGATTATGATACGTTTTTTTTCCATCCTTAATGGTTACTGGGGCGTTGAATACTTGAAATGTGCAGTTAGAAATGCTTTCTACACCAGAGAAGAAATGAGAAACTTTTGGGTTTGCAGCCATTTGAGATTGAGGCATTAATTGGTTCAACTGCTGATCAGCGCTCGTCCAAGAACTGCAAGAAGATGTACTTGCTATCGAAGTTTGCTCGTAGATATTCATCGATGGCGTCAAATCTTTTGACATAGATCTGCTGAGTGTGAGAGACATGGCTTTTTGGTGATGTTCTCCAGCTGTCTTGTAGGAATTAAGGCTTTCTGTAGATTTATGGCCACTTAACTGAGCGACGTAATTCTCGGGTACATTTGCGTCTAGCAGCCTCGAAATGCTTGTCTTCCTAACTGAGTGATTCGACACTTTAGCTCCTTCGCCCTGGTTTATACCGGCATTACGGGCAGCAATGGATAGGAACTGTCCAATTTGGTTTTTTCCAAGCGGAGACTTCTTGTACCAAACTGGATCGTTGCTCGCACGGTTGGACTTGATAGCAAGAAAAAATGGACATTCTGGGCCGTTCATTTCTGCTGGTCTGTGTTCTGCAAAGAGTTTGTAGTACCTTAGAGGACATCTTTCTCCTCCAGTGGCATAAACTTTTGGTTGAAAGGCTCTTTGGTGGCCTTTTTCTTGACCAAAACGGGTTTTTGTACCGCGTTCACCGAGCCAAACAAGCATTTCTTCGCCGTTTGTTGACTTTTGCAGCTTTACATCGCCCCAACATAGCTTTCGGCTCTCATCTCTAGCTCTAAATCCGAAATGCAAAGAAAGGAACCACCAAACTGTCCTCAGGACTTTGGTCTCCAAATTGGCCCGAAGCAAACAACTTTTCCTCTTCGGCATCTGATAATGACTTGGTCGCCAGAGGCTTGTTTCCTTTTCCAGCTTGAACAAGTGACTTTCGCTTGGCCTGCAAAACCATTCGAGAAGTGTTGAACTCTTTGTCTTTGAAGATATTTAATTCTCTTTTCTTGTCGTCAAGATATCTTTGGATACTTCGCTGGAAGCTACTTACAGTGCTTGGCTCGTAGTCGGAACCCGCATCCGACTTTTTCACATGCATAAAAAACTTGCTCAATAGATGGTCAAGCTCATTTGCAGGTAAGGTCTCGATTTCCACTTTGTTTCCAATGCTTTCCAGGTATCTGTTCAAAATGTTCATGTCTGATTTTGTTTTTTTAACAGTGTTTTTGGCCCTCTGGTTGGTGACGAACGTTTCAATTTCTTCTTGACTGTTAGAAATGGGTACTTCATCTAATAAAAGCTCGTCAGGATAATAAAATTCTCCTTCTGAATGATAATCTTCGTCATCCATTCCTTGTTAAATATTTTGTGTACTTTTTTGCTTCAAAAAATTGTACTTTTTTGCTTTAAAATTGTCAAATTTCGCGCCTTGAAAAAACGTCAACAAACGCGCGCTCGGGATATGACTTTCGGACCGTTGTCATGGTAATCGGTCGGAGATGGCAAAATATCGCCCTCGCGTGGGCCAATCAGAACGCGCGTACTATCCAAGTCATATAATAAAATTATATATATCACTGATTTGCATCAACAAAGCTGAAGAGAAAAAGTTTAATAATTATTTAATGTAGTGCCATGGAATTTTTTTGTTAGCAAAAATAAATTAGTCTTGGCCAAACATGTACTAAAAATCTGACCAATGTGTTTTGCATCACMTCTTCATCCAACATGCATATCTTTTGGGAGCTCCGCTATTAGGTTTTACCTAATTTTTATATTAAGTTTGACAAAAGAAAACACTCAGTTGATAGATATCAAATCTAAAAATAAGTTCTGAAAGTTTCATAGAAAAATAGTAAATCGTCTTGATGTTATAAGGGTTAGTAGAGGCACAAAAAAAAAACACCAAAACGAAGCTACCCATTCACAATCAAAGAATTCCATACAAATCCCTGTATTTTTATTCCTTCATATAACTTCGTTCATAGTTTCAAAACTTTCCACGAATACATATTTCAAATAGTTCTTCCATATGAGAGTGTTGAATATTTCCAATATTGTAACTTGTATGAAAGTGGTCTATGTTGCTGTCTTTTCTCTTTAAATGCGATTGTAAATTAATAAAATATTTCGAATTATTGGTGAGAATTCTTCCAACATATTACATTCTACTGCAGATTGATCTGTATTATATTCTGCTGAAGTTTTATCATTGAAATATCTTCTAAATTGATAATTTCAGATACATGCAATGTATTTCCTCCAATGATCGAATGTAATTATATCATTAATATATTATAACGGGCAAGATAAGATAGGTTTTCATTTTTAAACTACATAACGACAAACTGTACATCCAATATTTCTTGACAACTGATATATACTAGTATTCTGGTTTTTATTAATTCTTTTCTGTGTTACAAATTTAAGACATTTAATATTTTGGCAATAATCAGAATTGATCTCATTTGATATTAACAGATTTTTTGCTTCATTTCATGGAATAATTTTTTCACTCACTCAAAAATTCGTTCCACCGACGAAAACTGTTCTGTTTAAATGTGATTCCGTTAGGCAAACCGTGCACATTAAAAAAAAAAAACTTTCCGGGACGTTGATCTTCCAGACGAACTCGCCGAGCTCGCCGTGTGCGTACTGGCTTGAAGTCCGTCATAATACCATAATTCTTCTAGTCTCCCTTAACTCTCTCAGGCACTTCCTTCACATAGGGTATAGTTGCAAGTAGTCTATATACGTGTGACAACGAAGAATATATCAGCTGTGATGTTTTATTCTATTTATATATAGTGTAGAAAGGAGATAGTATCTCACTAGATATTGATAGCAGAGCCAAACTCTTTTGTTTTCTTTCTTCAAGCAAAAGAGTTTGGCTCCACTACCTAGAATCAAAGCGCTAACACTTTATTGTCAAGATTTATATATGGCCTTCATGTCACATTACAGTGGGTCAATTGCTATATATGGCCTTCATGTCACATTACAGTGGGTCAATTGCTATATATGGTCTTAACTTTGAAGTATAATCCACCATAATCACAATTTCATGCATGAAAAATCTAATAGATGTCACTGCGACGATCATTTCACTTACATCATGCATTGAACAGAGCTTAGACCATAGAGCGGATTTCGTATGACTGTGCAAAAAACACGGTACGTTCGTGCTGTGTCCGTACCGTGCCGTAGCCGTGATGCATTGGAAAATCTTTTTCATTTGAAATCCTAGAAGGCGAGGTTCCGTGACCGTGCCGTGCCGTGTCCGTGTTGTGATCCGTGCTTTTGCACAGTCATACGAAATCCGCTCAACTATAACGTATGACATACATAACATGGTTAAAAAATGGTGCTGACATAACGGGGAACGATTTGCTGGCTAAAAGTCTTTTGAAGGGGTTTCTTATATAGCTAAAGTGGTCATTAGGTGCGAAGCTCAGCGCAGCCGTAAAGCTCTATTCGTACAGTTGCATGCTGTTTGAAACCTTTCACAATCAGTCTGATGTGCCTGGTTTTGATTGGTACTTCAAGCTCGTTAGTCACGACAGTGTTTTGGTCGTAATTACCAGGGAAGACCTAAAGACATAACAACAAGAGCGAAGATTAATATATTCTCATACTAATTAATTATTCATGAGGTATCCAGCCAATCCCTGATTGTAATTTGTACCACGTGAAGTAACTTGAAACCAGAGGAAGTACTCGTACCTTTGTATTCTACCTTATTTCCAGTTACTTCTACCTTTTTAAAGTTACTTCTACATTATTTCCATTATTATACCATTACACCACCGAGTTTCTGATGCGTTTCCTCGGAAGGTAACATACTTATAAATCTTATGGATTAGGCTCATTAGGAATGCCATGAATAGCAGACAAAGACAATTTCAATAGCTTTTGTTTCAGAAAGCCGTCCGGGAATTGAAGAACAACAAACGGTGCTTCATGTATTCAAAATTATGAAAACTGAAAACCTTAGTGGAGATGCAATAAATCAATWTATTTCTGWTTTATGTATTTCCTTCGCTTTTCTCCCCTCSCGAATAATTAATGAGTATGAGAAGTCGTTCAAAGTCCTCCAATTCGGACTGGACGGGATTTCAAGTCCTTGCAATTAGTTCCAGTCCKMGGCTAACGCCTCGGACTGGAACTAATTGCGCGGACTTGGTTGAAATCCCATCCAGTCCKMATTGKMGGACTTTAAACATTACATACAAACATATCAACATATCATCATCTCCACCATCACCAGTGATTCATTTTATGACATATATACACTGTGCAGGAACCTTTCCGATAACTATAARATCTATTGGGGGTGCCATGGAGTCTAGTGCTTCACTCCCTCCTATATCAGGCGGAATGAATTTAGTTGAATGATTAATATTGTGCAAGGAACATCGATCATGCATATCAAGTACATAATAGTAGTATGTGCAAAGGTGGAGGTTAATGCTAATGCGTTCGATTTGAAATTTGTTTGAAAATCTCAGCGATCATCTCCCGGGGGGGAAACTCTGTTCAAGACAAATCGGAAAAATAAGGAATCACTATATACSCCGCTACCATCAAAACTTGGGTTCCTAGGAACYCATGGAACMCCCCCTGGATCCGCCACTGTTCACTGATATATTGAATGCACTCTGATGTCCACTTAATTTATGTAAGCAAACGAAGGGACACGATCGAAAATGACAAATGCATAGATATTAGGAAATGTGTWTTAACACATATATAAAAATATATAGAAGGAAAAAAAAAGAAAGGAAAAAAAGTGACAAAGGTTTTCATTTTTCAGCCTCACCTTTGTGCAATCCCCAAGATATTCTTCCCAATTATTTCCATCAACGCTATAGTACGCTAGTGAGTACTTGGTCACGTACTGTAACCAATTAGTGCTTTTTCTCCCCTGTGTGGCTACCATGGTGATGACCTTAGTACTTCCAAGGTCAATCTGGATGAACTCTCCAATCAACGAGCTGCCAGCAGCCCATCCTGCGATACCCT